TAATACCCCCCCCCCCTTCATGGAAGCAGCTCCAAGTCCCGAATTTTCAAAGTATAATTCGTTTTTCATATAACATACATTACACGCAGAGAAGATTGGTCTTTTATGTGACACCCTGTATACGGAATAGGCGAGCTCCTTGATATTCTGACGGTGCAGCTATGCAATTCCGTTGCCGCAGCGGTAAGCAAAAATGGACGAGAAACATGAAAACGAAAGAAGTTAGTATAACTATTCTACACGGTCTGGAATAGTTTTCCCATTGGCGCTGGCCTACGGAATAAGGAAATTGAAATGCAAAAAGAGTGTGTTGTGGAAGACAACGGCGACTGTGATTGCTACAACGACGTGGTCTCAAAGAAATTACGTATGTGCGAATAGATCGGACGAGGAACGCTACACATTGTTGCAACCCCTTCGGAACAACCACTTCGACTGTTTATAATAAAATAGTCCATAATAATATCTGCTACTGGGCATATGCAAAACAGTGCTCCAAAAGACTAGAAAAAATTACAAAACTACTTGATTATCAGCTATCCTATACCGACATACCGCGCAAATTTTAACATATTTAGTAGAATACTATTAGCACATGTAACCTAACCAAACCTAGCCTTACCATGGTGAAATAATTCGCAATAAACCATAGAAGATATAGTATTAAAATATGAAAACAGAGACGTTCCCATTTGAAAGATTTTACAGAAGTTGTCTTTCCTCAGTCATTGAAGTACTACAATAGTCGAACACCCTGTATAGTAACGCCGGTCGTAATACTAAGAATCGTGTCGGCAATGAGTGTTGTAGATACCGAGGAAACGGCTATTATTTTCCGATTCATTTTTGCATGTTGATGACATACCAATAAAAAAAGATCTCATTATAATAATTCTCCCATTTTCATTTTAATTTTTAGGTGGAAAAAAGCAATTAAATTCTCAGTTGATAGACTTTTAAAAGAACCACCGATGGCAATCACAATGTGGTCAGAAAAGTTGAATCGTAAAAATTGTGTTGTAAAAACAATGTAGGCAGAGTCACAAAAGTCTTGTAACTATTGTGAGTTTGGAGTTAATTTCATAAATGTTTTTTGAATTTCCCTTTCGTTCGAATTGAAACAAACAATTGGAAAAAAGCGCATGGGTCTAAATTTACGTGTGCAGTTGGTTGCACAAAATAAATACATAAAACGCAGCAAATTTGAACGGGTTCAGCCAGTATCTAATAAAATTGTGAGATATAATTATAAAATTTCAGTAATTAAGTTGTTTGTTGAAAGTAAACCGGCGATTGATGAAAACGAAACTCTGTTGTCATGTGTGACAATTTGCTGTGACCTTTCGTTTTTATTGTTGTTAGTTAGACATTATAAAAGATTTAACTGGGCTAGACAAGCTGGTGGCTTTCAACGTTACTAACTTCCTGTACTAAACCAATTTTCCTGTCTGACTGGAATTCTCCTGGATCAACAGGCTACACTAACTACCAGCTGTCTTGTTTGGACTGGTTGGCAAATTAATTCGCTAATGATGCGACCTTTCTTGTTAATAAAAAAATTATTATTGTTCCAGACTTGCAAAATGATCATTAAATGTAAACAAAACGTATCATGGCAATTTCTGACGACCGACTCTGTTAGCAATGCATCTCGTTGCGATACAGGGCGAATATGATAAAATTTTCTTTCAATCGAATTTCGAGCGAGGAATTTACGTCATTTAAAACAACAGGAAATGACAACACGAACGGAGTGCTTAATTCGACATCTTTATATGAGATTTTAGGGAGAAATCAGGGATTAAATCAGCAAGACCAACCCAGGGGTTCAAGTTAGACAAATTTGATTAGATATATGTGTTTGGTAGTAAAAGAAATTGTAACTTGCGCTTAATTTTAACTCGTATCTCTGTTTGAATATAAATAATATGATGAAACCTCTACAAGTGTGACGCAGCGTGGCCGTTTTTACGATAGAATTTAAATTAATGAAGAACACGTTTTAATTATGTAGATTCTAGCAGGTTTATGAAAATTCACACACATATGCGTCGTGCCTGTTTTTTCTCCAACCAATTCCCGACTTAATTAAAAACCGAAAACATCATTAATAACTTCCAACGTCTAATTTGAATATTTGTAGTAAACACGAGGTGTAGGCACTTACATGGTATCGGGTTTTTCACCGCAACAAATGATTCGCACAAAGATATACACCCTGTGTATATGTTTTACGAGCGACTTCTCGAAAAGTGCTTTCAGTGTTGATGACTTTACAAGAAAAAAACAAATTCAAAGCCAATCGTCAGCCATGATAAACAAGACCGAACGGCGCGAAATTGATTATTATAATATTTTAATTCAACTAATTCGCATTAGTCTGAAAACGAGCCTAGAATACGGATTTTTCAACACACAAAGTAATGGCCAGTTAAGGATGCCCAAAGGACAATCCTTATAGTGAGTCAGTATGTAAAGATTGACTAATATTCTCGAATTAAAATTTGGTTCACAACTGACGAAGAAATCGCGAATTGAAAATGAAAAAAGTCATGTTAAATTCTCGTAATGGCCGTGCTCTAAGGTGTTGCTTCGCAAAATTTAAGGAAATGTTAATTTCCTTAGCCAAAAATTGTTTGGTCGGATTCTCCCCAAATTTTTTAATAGAATGTTCAAATTCCCAACAAAATATAAACTCTCTCGACAAATGCGGTCTCAGAAATTTGAAAGAATTGATATCTTACTCTGAAAAGGCATTTAGCCTGGTTTAATCAAAGCTGAACCAGCAATTATATAGAATTTTGATGTAAATTGTTTAAATTTTAAATATTTTCATAATACCCATAAAGGATCCAAGCTGGTTGACCCACGATCAATAAAAAGAAAAGGTAAATCTATGTGATAACGTTAATTTTAATGTTAATTAACTTTTAAAACTGTTAAGACATTGATTCATGTAGAGTATTTTTAAGGAAGTTATTCATTTTAAAAGTGACACCAACATTTATTTCGTCAGATAACAACCCCAAAGCCGTACATTTTGAAATTTTGCCTAGAATATATCGGTTTCTGGATGTGGCAACCCTGATTCCACAGCCCATTATTTGCTATAAAAATTTAACAAATCCCATACTGAAACGATCATTATTTTCAAAGTTTTTGGAATTTCTAATACATTTAATTGAAAATAGCCTTTATCTGTTATTGCTGTCCCAACTTCATTGCTGACTTTTCGTTATAAAATGTTTAGGAATCGTCCTCCCTCTATAGATACGTCTTTGGTCGAAGATTAGATCACCTGTTATTAGGAACGTCTGACTGCGATCTCGACGAGACGACCGACGCACAAAATATACAATAACAATAAATCGTATCAGTTGCGGACAGTCGTCCGCATGTATAACGTGTGGGTGTCTCACACGTATGCCCCTCCGACTCTGCTGTTGTACTCATTACTTATTAAATATAGGACTTGTAATAAGTTAAACGTTATTTACGTTGTCTTTATGAAATTACATTGATACATGCACTCACAGGTGCTACAACAAAAAAAGAAAAAATCGGCATACAATAATCACTTGATACTATTAACATTATTGAGTTGAATCTTTAAATGAGTCAAAACTTGATTAGGTTTGTACTATAGTAGCATCAGTAATCTAATCTTTTTTGGTTAGTACTTCAATATTATGCGGTGTCCATTTGGCCGTTTTAAATACGAAGGGCCTAAGTTACCAACAAACTATCTAACTTAACCAGTAAGTACGTAATTAATGTACTGACTAATTAATTTATGTACTGACTGGTTGGTATTCCTACAGTGACCGATTTCATAATTAAATCTAAAGGGAGAAATCTCGTCGACCCGAGTTCTTTGAGGAAACCCGAAAATTTCTAATCTTTCTAATTTTTTATAGCCAAAATATAAAAAATATAATTTGTCAAATTTATATTCGCAGTCCGTGGTTCTAATTTTCTGTCAACTACTTGCCTATACTCTTTAAGACACTAGGGTTCCGAAAGGAAAACCGGAACCCTAGTAAACTATGAAGTATTAAACGTATTGGCTTATATAATAATATTTGCAGAAAATGTTTAAAAGGGGGTACTTTAAGAGTCCTGTAGGGAGTCGTTTGAAAGGTCCAGTAACAAGAATCCCGAAATTTTAGGTGTTTTAAACATTTCTGCAGTGATTACTAAAAATGTACTCCAAAAACGTGTTCAGTTATTTAATGAATAAAAAGTACCACGAATCCAATCTCGCCTATGTCCGAAAATTTTCTGCCTTGCTATCAAAATTTAATAGTTCTAAATTTCATTTCGGGTAATCTACAGATCATTAAACGTTTCTTATATTAGTATTGCCCAATGTCCGAGTCACATTTTTAACAAAAGCCCAACAATTTTATTACAACTAATTGATAATAATTACGTGTCTGTCTGGCATTAGAAAAAGTACATTGTTACATTGCTAATTATAGATATATGTTACAATACAAGCTACTGACTTTTTTATGACTGTTTACCCTTAACATGTAGCCTTCAATTGAAGAAGTCCTGCACTGTTTTACATAGAAAACAGGAGTTTTTGGGAATAAAACAAGAAGTAGTGCAAATTTATAGGTTTGCATTTTAATTAAGAAAAAATATGATTTTGTTCATTCTATTGAATGAATTAAAAACTATTGCTCTTTTTACCAAGTAGACACAATATTTGTGTTTTTTTTTTGATTGCATCGCATTATATGTGTGAGAAAAACGTAAAAACAAAAGCGTGACAATCAAATTTCGCAAATTATGCAGCGATCATAGAAAAGAAAAAAACAAAATCGCCAATAAAAACACAATACGCACACATACAAAACACGGGCAGCAGTTTTTAAGTACAGTGACATGCTGCTAAGCACTTTCGTCAATTTTTTGGTGACAAGCAATAAATAATAAGTGCATAAGTCTGGCGATGCCATGTAATAAAAATCAACACCCAAGCGACTAATTACCTTCCATAAGTTTCCACATCACGTCTTCTTGAAACAAAAAAAAAGAGAAAAAACCCCTTTTAGCTACTTCGTATTTGATATCGTATCAATAAACTAATAAATCACTAAGTAGATATGTATTATCGTAATCTAAATTTTGTTTTTTTTTCTCCTAAAAAAATTTTACCTGTCTCTCATTTTCGTGACATCGAATCCGGTCCTGTAATCGTCGTTATCAATTTGTGCCAAACCGACCCCTATGGAGGACGGCGTTCCCTCGGCGGCATCGGCCTGCATACTCTTACCACTGATATCGTCGTCAATCGCCGGTTGATCGCCCATCATCATTTCGTCGTTATCATTAATAATTTTTCCCTTATTACGGTTCGGGTTGTGATGATGGTGTCTCAGATGATGGTGTTTTGGGGATTGTTCCGATTCTGTATCGTAGTACCATTTCATGAGGAGATCTATCAGTTGCTTTTGGATTTCTTCCTTATCGTCCTCGAAATCGGCAGGATTGTCTTTGCCAACGGGGTGAGACTTCAGTTTCGGCGCAAGACAAATTATTATTATAAACGTCTGCAGGGTAAGAAACCAAAACACACGATTCGTCGAATGATACATTTTTGGCACTTTTTATTTTTCACTTGTTCAGTAATTGTTGTTGTTCACTTGTTGTTTATTATTTTTGTTTTTTTTGGCGACGAGACAAGTTATTTCACAATGGTTTAGACAAGAGTCTGTAAGAAAAGCAGAGAAAATGTGTTTTTTAAAGTTGACCACGTGATTTTGGCTTTTGCCGCAGTTGTGGTACGGACTCAGCGCAATCAAAAGACTTGTTACTTCTAGTGTGCTACAGTATGAACTAATACAATGTATTGGATTTTAGGTAGCCGTTTGAAGGAGTGAGTGAGTAAGGTAGAGAGGAGTCAGTTGCCCCTTCCTTGTTTACCTCATTGTAAAATTATTAGTAGTAACCTACCTAGCAGACGTTCTGTCTACTCAGAAATTAGCTAAATTATGCAAAAATCGAACATATTAATTGAAATTTTACACTACCTACCGTTTACGTGGTTTTCGATGGAAAACAGCGAATTTAAAATCAGTCAATTTTTTTCTTTCTGCGAACAACGGCACTATACTGCAATTTAATTGCAAATTTTTTTATTCATTTCAACTAAAATCATTTTCTTAAAAAGCCTATTTATTTTAACAATAAATGTAATTCCTAGTTTTATCCTTTCTAAGGATCTACAATTACCGAAAATATGCTCGAGTAAGTAACATTTGATGACCCCCTTGTCCGAAACAAAAAAAACAACATATTGTAATTGCTTTTCCACCTAATTACAGTGCAGCAATTTAATTACCAAGTGTAGTAATTCCCTTTCGAACGTCTGGTAAATTATGATACAAATTGTGTTCAAATATTTTCAAAATACTACCACTTAAATTCGAGTGAATCCGAAAGGTAATTTCTAAACGCAAAGTGCACTGTTCATTAAATACAATATAGAGGTATCATTTGAAGCAGTAAATTTAATTATTTATTTAATGTACTAGAATTTTAACACTCATTTGGTGTTTATGTACGAATCTTTATCGTGATTAGACAAAATTAAGAAAGTGGACCATGCAGACACATAATAATAATAATAACGATATATATATATACGTACATATCTATCAATTAACTGATTTAAGAATTTTTTCCACAAATTAGACTATTTGTTGCAATAGAACTAATTATTATTTCAGATAAACGTTGGGCAACAAATCGTTTTGTTTACATGACAAATTTTAGACTTTGTTTTGTTTTTACGCAAAAAAAATGATTAATTATTTTTATAATCCTAACGTATCCGGTCCATTCATAACAATTAGTACGTAAATCAAGACTGCACACTACAAATTTAACAAGTATTAAATAAATAAATGCGTTACTTACTACAGGATTACGATTTCGTAAAAACTTGTTCACAGTTAACTGGGACCATCATCCTTTTGTTGCAATAGAAGTTATGATTTCGATACCGAAATAAACGAACATTATAAACAGGTGCAAGCCTATTGTTTTACAATAATTTTATCATATCGGCCTTTTTTGAAACAATGACATACCGGGGACCGCTACAATTTCAGAAATTCGCTCGTTTATTAGGATGATAGTTTTATTGGATATAAACATAAATATCACCGTTTTAACCAACACTCGAGTGCTACAACATTTTATGAAACTTATTAATAGAATCAACTAGTTCAAATTATAATTAGATTCTTTGGAATGTACTTTGGAAATATAGTGGAATCGTAATAGTAACTACGCATAACGGAAACCCCGCCATATTATAACTATAGTAGACGGCCGTATACTGTGAACAAATTAGACCTTCGCTAATACAAACGAATGCGAGTTTGCCTTAAAAATCGGTATACTTTCCTGTAAATCCCCGATAGTGATCAGCAAAATTGGTTTTGCGAAAATTCAAGATCAAGACTGCCTATATACCAGTAAGACCGAAACCAAGACTGAACGAATAAGACTAAGACCGAATAAGTAAGACCATCACTAAACCCCGATATATTTGGTACTTCCCCAGTCGTACTATCTAAAAAGATGTTTTTTTTTCGTTTAATTTAATATCATTATCAGAAAGATCTGTAGAACATGCATGATGCTTCACTACCTTTTTACGTATTTGTTGCTGTCTTTTACCGAGTATTTAGTAGTATTTTACAATTGTTTATTATACAACCGATAACGTGAACGGCTGTTGTTTTTTTCGATTCACACTGTTACGATTTTGCAATATTTCCAAACATTTTTAATGGAGACTGTAAGTATTACTTATTAATCATGAATTTGATATAATTTTAGTGTAGGCTTGCCTAGGTACATGTTTATAACTTATATAGTTAGCCCAAGAAAAGACGGTCCAAAACTAAGATGGATAAATGGCGATATATTTGTCATTTGGAGTATCAATTAGAGTAATTTCATCATTATGAGGTCGTCAGTTCTATGACTGGTTGGACACGTACTTCCACTCCTGCCTATCCTGAGCTAATCTTCGCATTTCCCTAAAACTAGAACATCCCACATCCGTAGGTATTTGCGAACAGTAATTTAATCTAAGTCTACTTCTTCACTCTTCCTGTTTCTACCTCTAACATGTCTTTGACTAGACCTTCATGCCTGAGAACGTGTCCTACCAACCTATCTCGCCTATTTTTTATTGACTTCCATGACTCCTCTGTTCTCCTATTTTTTCTAATACCTCTTCATTTCTAACCTTCTTTATCGACGGTATCCTCATCATTTAACACCACATTTCGAACGCTTCTAACCTTTTCTTTGCCGAAGCGCCCGCCGCCTATGTTTCGCACCCGTACAGCGCCGCATTTCAAACATACACCTTTAACAATCTTTTTCGAATTTTTAAATTAATCGTTCGCATGCATAGAACTGACTTCTTTTTATTGAAAGCGACTCTTTAACTATGTATAACTTCTATCTCTGTAACTCATCCCTACATTTTTAAGTATAATATTAAGCTGTTTAAAAGATATTGCAAAACAGACTCAAAAAATCTATGGAAACGGGATTGTCAATGGTACATTCTGGAACTTGGACGGATTACGGCTGGTTACTGAATAATTTTACGAACAAAATAATTCTTCAATCTTCCGAGATTAAAAATAGTAGTTCGTTGTTTGACAACAGCGGTACTAAAATAACTAACGTTAAATGCTTTAATTTCACATTTTATTGTCAAAACATTTGTTGCCAACAATTTTTTTATTACGTTCGTCAAAGTCCTACACTATCCAAATTTCTAAGAAATCATTTTACGTTAGCTAGAAATGTATATATATATATGTAAGNCAAAATACTTTATAAAAGTTGTTTTTTGACAAAACATTAATTACAACGGATAAAATGAATAATTAATAAATAAACGAAAAATTTTCCCTTAACACGACTATTAATAAAATTCACAAACTAATCCTAATCTAGCTGACAACCAAAAATGGACTTTTATTTTAGGGCACCAAAGATAAAACTTGTCAATTTTTTAAATAAAGTCATTGTTACCCCCGTTTATCTTTTATTATTCAAAAAAAAAAAAGAAGAATGTCGTTCTTGTAATCTCTCTCACCTGGTGTTTTCCTTCGCGTTCAAAATTTAATGTCAATCAATTTCGATTCTGTCACGTGTCCGAAGACGAAAACACTGTCTCACATCAGAACAGGGACTAGGAAATAACAAATTATATATACCAACGTCTGACTTATATAGGTGTTACTGATTTAATCCCAGTTACCTGTGTCATTTGTTACCATAATAATAAGTCACTCACGAAGAATCGCTAAACACGCGTTGCCAAAAACCTCGCATTACTTCAGAAACAACAGCAAGCTGAATTGTTGAAATTCAAACAATCGGAACAAAAATGATAAACATAATTTTGCGTTTCGCGTATGTATTTCAGTAATGCCAAAAAAAAAATGAGAAAGAATATGAAATTGGTAATACGGCAGAAAATTTTTTGTATGTTTTGTCCATTCTTTCTTTGATTTCCGTTTTTAGACGTTATATTTATTTTAAAAACAAATTAATTTGAACTTATTTAGGTAATATAGCCCTTCATTAACAATATCCCAACGTTTCGCCCCTCGATTGGACGCTTCTTCAAGGGTAATTGTAAAGTAATTTAAGTTGAATACATTACATTACACCCAAGTTTCTTTATCTTCTTTTATATAGCTAATATCAATGACTGTAATTGATCTTTTGTACTTAACTTGTAATTAAAAAGGACTAATAAAATAATATAATAACAACCAAAAAGGACAATTACGTAATAGATCAAAATTAGACGAAAAACAAAAAATTTTTAGCATTTTTAAAAGTGTCCTTTTGGTTGGTTTAAAGAATGTTATTTTATAACTCCCAAAAGACCTTACCATTTGATTTGGCGAAGATATAACGGGCAAGGAAAGATATAAAATACAATTTTTTAAACCGGCAAAAATCACATACTTTTAAAAATGCTAAAAATTTTGTTTTTCATCTAATTTTGATCCTGGTACGTAATTATCATTTTTGCTTGTTATTATTTAACTTTATTAGCTCTTTTTAATTACAAGTTAAGTACAAAGATTAATTATGGTCATTAATAAGCTTGGGTGCAACGTATTCAACTTAAATTACTATCTATACAATTACCCTCGAGGAAGCGTCCAATCGAAAAGCGAAACGTTGGAACATTATTAATGTACTTTTACCTACCCCTTAACTCCCAAAAGTCCTGAAGGGGTAAAAGTACATTTCCAACACCCCTAAGTTAATTACGGACATTTTTATTAATTACTAATCGGAAAAGCCTTGTTGGGTTCACTACCCCCAATTTTATTCCGAGCAGATTTCAATTTTCAGAGAATTAAAAAAAAAATCTAATCTAAATAATCATTTTGTATGCAAATTTTTGCGAATGTCTACCGTTTTACAAACAAATGAAGAAGTGAAAGAAGTTGACTGATTATTTATCAACGCTGACGTTAACAGATTGTTTGTTTGCGTATGTCTCAGGATTTTGTGTGACATTTTCGAAATTAGTCTACTACTCTCTATAACATTAAAAATACATGAGTAGTTCTAGGTTACTGCGAATGCTTATTCGATATGTCTAGACGATATTAACAATTTTCAAACAAAAATCGTTGAATACGTTTATTAACAACGACTGCGAGCCCTCTTGCATGGCTTGTTACCTTTTAGCCTTTTTCTTACATTTCCTTTCCCATGCGTACTCATTTATTAAAAATTATGTAATTTAATATTTTTGATAAGGTGTTCAAATATAACAAAATTAGAGAATTGAAGAAAGGAGTATGAAAATGCATCTATAAAAGAAATCTCTAATAAAATCCAAAACGGCATTAAAAAACAACAAAGATAAATGTAAATTTCAATATTTATGCTTAATTATTATCCAAATATTACAAAAAATCTACAGAAACAAATCCATAATCAAGTTGATGATGATATCTCAGAAACGAAACGTCATATTTAAAATCCAAAGATACGACGTTGCAGAGCAGAAAAAATTACACAACATTTAAATTCAAAATGTTTCCCTGACCTTTGAGACGTTCCAGAAAATAAACTGGATCTAAAAATTAAATAAAAATTTGATAACAACGATAATATACTATAAAAAACTTGCGGAAATTTTGTAACTTATTGTCGTAAAGATTTGAAGGAAAAGCAAAAGATAGATCGTACTCATTTTAAATACAGGGTGTTCACAAAATTGAAGTGCGACATTGTACTGTACAGTTGCAGAACCAAATTGAATTTTATCCGATTGTCATTTTATTTGAGAATAAGTTTAGATAAACAGTCAACATCACCGAATTTTTTTAAGTTAAAAATAAAGTGTTACTTATTTGACTGTAAAATTTTTTTGGAATTGTAATCGTGTTGTTGTGTATCTGTATGCACATGCATTTTTAGGCATATGTTTTTGACCTGCTTGCACTTATTAGGCTGGGTCTTGGTTGGCCGAGGAAGTGCCGTCTAGATTTTGTCGGCTCCGATGAACCTTTTTTTCAGGGTCAATTTGGAAATCGTAAAGGAGAATAATTCATTTGAATAATACCTATATTGGTGGTGATTGAATCTCTCAAACGGCATTGGGGGTTGATCGCTACGAGATGTAAAAGTAAAAATTTCAATATTACCATTATAAAAAATTGACTTGACAAGCGTCAGGTGTAAAATTATTTCCGACTGTTCAACGAGTAGTAATAAATAAGTGAACGCTCTGAATATTTTTAACTCAATTTCGCACAGACAGATGTTTGTGTAATATTGTACATACGTGCGCACTAAGGGTCAACATCCCGGGCCGTTTTCAAAACGTATTTTTACACATTTTTTATTTTCTTCGTATGGCTTCACTGAGCCAGCTTCGGCTAAATTATGTTTTTACGCACTAAAACGGATAAAACGAAATGCTATCTTTCCTTTATTCTTTCGTTTCCTTTTTCTTTCCGTTACGACGCGAAAGGAAGAGCCTCAACGATCTAGACGCCCATGAACGTGACTATTTCGAAATAAAATAAAAACAATCGAACAACCGTTGGGCATTATTACGATATTCTTTTTGTTTTTTATTAATATTTTGTAATCAAAATTTCAACTATTTGTCGATAAACCAGAGATCTGAAGTTTTATTTATCTTGTCAGA